ACAGCAAGTTTACATTTTATGTTAATATGAATATTATTTTAAAGTGGAGGAGATTTGCCTTTTTACAGATATTTCAGCTTTCAGCAATGCATTTTCTCTCGTGCACACTCTCTCTCGCGCGCTCTTGCACTCTCTCGCAAGCCCCTGGCATGTCACTATTTGCAAGAGCCAAGACTTAAAACTTACAGCAATATTAAACACGAGAAGACGAGAAAATGACGCGAGATGACGCGAGTGTGGTGCAACTTCAGCAAGACTCTCATGATTTCATTCCGACATTGGAAATTTGTCTGCGACAGTAAAATCGCTTGGTGTAAGGCTGACATGAGAACCTGTCGGTGGGTTCAGACTTTCCTGCTTCATTCATGTAACTGCACACTTTACATAGTTATTACACAGTAATTGCACATCCATAAGCTTATTATTCAGTAAGAAAATGGACAAACAGAATGGCTTTACACCAGAAAACGATGATTCAAGGCTGAGTGCTGTCATCATACCTGTCCAACCTGTATGCAGGACATATAATGAGAGGAGCAGGACTGGATGAAGATGATCAAGGATTCAGGAAACATCAATAACCTTCAATATGCAGATGATCCAACACTCTGGAAAACCCAAAGACCTTTATGAGGAAGGTTAAAGAACAGAGTGACAAGATGGGACTTCAGCTCAGTATAAAGAAGACTAAAGTTATGATAACAGGAAGAACTGCTAACTATAGCATTGATGGAGAAGATGTGGAAGTGGTGGGCAGCTTTTGCCAACTCAGATCAATTATTAACAACAGAGGATCCAGCACTCAAGAAATACGACACAGATCGGCTCTCGGCAGAGCAAGGATGAAGGAGCTTGAAACAATCTTCGTATGCAATGAATTGTCTCTACAAACAAAGTACAGCTTTGTCCAGGCTGTGCTCTTCTCTGTGGTTCACTTTGGATATGAAAGCTGGACAATAAACAAGTGAGACAGGAAAAATATAGATGCCTTTGAACTTCAGTGTTGGTGAAAACTTTTGAGAGTTCTTTGGGCGACAAATGGATCCTCAAATAAATCAAGCTTCACCTCTCACTGGAAGCCCCGATAATCAAACTGAAGCTCCCTTATTTTGGACATATTCTGAGAAGAACTGATTCATTGGAAAAGTCCATAGTGCTTGGAAGAATTAAAGGTAAAAGAGGAAGAAATTGACTCATGAACCATGAGTATGTTCATATTTTCAGGTAATGAGGCACGATGTTTAAAAAAAAACATGGCATGAAGTTTTACATTATGTTTACGTCACGTCTTCTTCTGTGAGTTTATTGGCTGGTTGCTAAGCAGAAAAATGATTACTGTCTGACTCATGTAGACCCGGAGTTTCCCCATTATCTGTTTACTCAAGTGCATGTAAACGTGTTGATCGGATTACTGACCAAATCTGATTTTCTGCAGTCACTGGATTATTAAGGGCATGTAAACACTCTTACTGTTTCTGCTCAAAACTAACCCTGAGCCCTACTCAGCTCCATAATTATGGAGCATTTGGATGATCCTTGTCAAATCTGTTAATCCAGAGCGCAACCAAGAGTTGTTTTATGTTTGGGTGGTCAACAGCAACTGGTAAATCTATCATGTAAACACTATGCATATCTGCTGTGATGGACCAATGATCTATTGTCGTATCTACTGCCTACATCCTACACCCTTGTGTGGTGTTCAGGTCTGTGGGACCCATTTTCAATGTTTACCAAAAGCAGAAATTATGCGATTTATTATTATTTCAACCTCAGATTTCTTGGCCTTTGCTCATTTTCTGTGAAGAACATATAAAATAACCCATTTTCAGTGTCTTCACTCTGTTCACCCCCCACACATTTATATTACACATGTGGTGTTGGGTGAACCCACGGAGTAAAAGTGTGGAGGTGCTGTGTCCTTCACTCTGTTCTCCTCCTACATGGCCTGCTGTTAGTGTGTGTGTGTCTGTGTGTGTGTGTCTGTGTGTGTGTGTGTGTAAGGGTGGACAACAATGACAGGCTGCTGACTGGCTACAGCTGCTAAAGGAGAACCCTACGCTGGACACTTGTGATATTTTAAACATCTGGTATTTTTGCATAAATTGTTATGGCTGTATTGATTTGTGGGTCCACCAGACCACTGAGTAACAAACACCACACAAGGGTTAAGTACACCGTGATACAGCAAATGAAGTTTCTACTGTGTTCATGTGGTTTCAGAGAATGTACTGTGCTTGTAACTCGAGTAACATGACTGGAGTTTTCCACTTCAAGGAGTGGCTTCGACTTCCTTGTGATAAACTTGGAAATTTGTGTGTTTACGAGGTTCACCTGATCGCACTGTAATGCAATAATAAAACTCTCTGCCTTCTGCCGTTGTTATACACCTGACCCTGTCGGGTGCTGCTGCTAGACACCAGAGTGATTTTTCACAGCTCACTAGTAAGACAGTGACGAGAGATATGACAAAAATATAACATCACACTATTTTAAGATACAACCAAGAAAAGTTGGGATGCTGTGCAAAATGTAAATAAAAACAAAATTCAAGGATGTGCAAATCATTTAAACCTTATATTTAATTGAAAATAGTACAAAGACAACATATCAAATGTTGAAACTGGGAAATTTTATTATTTTTTGAAAAATATAGGCCCATTTTGAATTTGATGCCAGCAACAAGTTTCGAAACAGTTGGGACGGGGGCCTGTTTACCACTGTGTTTCATCACCTCTTCTTTTAACAACACTCTGTAAGCGTTTGAGAACTGAGGAGACACTGCTGTAGTTTTGAGAGTGAAATGTTTTCTCATTCTTGTTTGATACAGGATTTCAGCTGCTCAACAGTTCAGGGTCTCCTTTGTCGTATTTTTCATTTCATAATGCGCCAAATGCTATCAGTGGTGACAGATTTGGACTGCAGGCAGGTCAGTTTGGCGCCTGGACTCGTTTAATACAGAGCCATGCTGCTGTAATACATGCAGAATGTGGTTTTACACTGTCTTGCTGAAATAATCAAGGACTTCCCTGAAAAAGACGTCGTCTGGATGGCCTTGTACCTCACATACAGAGATTCCTCCAGATTCTTTGAATCTTTTAATGAAATTATGTACTGTAGATGATGAAATCCCCAAGTTCTTTGCTATTTTACATTGAGAAACGTTATTCTTGAATTGTTGCACTATTTGATGGTGCAGTCTTTCACAGAGTGGTGAACCCCTCCTCATCTTCACTTCTGAAAGACTCAGCCTCTCTGGGATGCTCTTTTATAACCAATCATGTTACTGACCTGTTGCCAATCAACCACCAGGTGTGTTTTTTTAGCATTACCCAACTTTACCAGCCTTTTGTTGCCCCCGTCCCAACTTTTTTGGAATGTGTTGTTGGCATCAAATTCAAATTGGGCAAATATTTTTCAAAAAACAATCAAATTTCACAGTTTCAACATTTTGATTTGTTGGCTTTGTAGTATTTTACATTAAATATAGAGTTTAAATGATTTGCAGATCATTGCATTTTGTTTTTATTTACATTTTGCACAGCGTCCCAACTTTTTTGGAAATGGGATTGTAGTTTATAACGACAACTATACATTTTTTGTCAAATTGCCCACCTCTACTGTCACATTGATATTAATTTTGTCATGCTGATTCCAGAAGTAATGGCAGAAAACCTGTTGAACTGCACTGTTATCAGCAGCTACATCCATTACACAGGTTGGAGCCACTGGTCCACTATTTAGTGACCAATTTAGACCACGCTTTAATTAAACAAACACTCAGCTATATTTCCGTCAGTCGTCAGTACCTCTCTACATGCGTTGAGTTTCAGCTGCTCTTGAAAGTTCAAACAGATTCTAGAAGTTGTATCAAATGACTCATCAGTTCCCAGAACCGGAGCTGACCAGTGGATGAGGCTGAGCTGACCAAGAGACGGACACAGCCTGTGAGTGTGTGTGTTTAAGTAGGTTAGGAACATAGCAGCTGCTCTTTCTCAGCCCATCACCATTCTGCTGCAGCGCTGCATGACGGGTCATGAAGAGCTACCACGACTCAGCAAATCTGCAGCCCCACCTTCTTCATTTATCGTCAACTTGCAGAATAATTTGGACCTTTTTGCTCTACACTGTTAGTAATAAAGGTTCTGTTTAGGTACATTTTTCGTTCATTAAGGTACAAACAATGTAAATGTTCCCTCAAAGGTACAACAGTGGTTTTAAGGTCTGATTGTGAATCTTAAACCTTGAAAAGTTCGTATTTGTACCTTTTCATAACCGAATGGTTTAAAACAGAACAGTAAAATAAAAGCCTGGAGACGAGACGGGGTGTGTGGAGTCAGTACAGCGTAGAACATATCATTTCAGTGGATTATGGTTCAGTTATGTTCCCTGACTAAAGGTACTGAGATGGACCCTTGAGGGAACCACCCCAGTGATAAGAGGGGAACTGCCCCAGTGACAGTTTAGTACCTTTATATCTGAGAGTGTAGTTTAACACTCTCAGTATGTTAATCAAACTGTCAGCTGGTACACTGCAAAAAGTAATCAACATAAATAAAATATTACATCTACACAAAGAAAGACAACTTTGTGTCCATGTAAAACATTTTATCCAGGTGAAATTGATGTGTATGTTTGAATGATGTCAGCTTTATACAGTTATATGCTAAAGTTTGATCACCCCTGGTGAAATGGCACCGTTTGTTGGTTCTCTCAGTCAAATTAAGTTAACACATCCTCAACAAACTTAAATACGATTTTGTGCACAGTGTCTATTTATTTGCTGAGTGTAACAAAGTGGAAAAAAATAAAATCAAAATATAAAAATGTTTTTATTATTATTAAAAATAATCAAATATAAAATGTCCCTAGGCCACATTTCATGATTTATTTTTTCCCTAATATGCTAAATGCAGCAAAAAAAAATAAATAAATAAATAAAATGTGTTATAGATAGATAGATAGATACTTCATTGATCCCAAAGGAAATTTAGTACAGATTTAGCTCTGCGAAAGCAGAGCCTTCAAAAATACGAAGAACTCATCAACGATCCCCTCCACAGAAATCTTTAGTAAAAGACAAAAAAATTGGGGCGTGAATGAAGAGAAACCCGAGCTATTCTCTAATGTGTTCACTTATTTTTAGTTAAAGAATCCAAAAAGTTTTGCATACAACTATATACACACCGATCAGGCATAACATTATGACCACCTCCTTGTTTCTACACTCATTGTCCATTTTATCAGCTCCACTTACTATATAGGTGCACTTTGTAGTTCTACAGTTACAGACTGTAGTCCATCTGTTTCTCTGATACTTTGTTAGCCCCCTTTTACCCTGTTCTTCAGTGGTCAGGACCCCCATAGACCCTCGCAGGGCAGGTACTATTTGGGTGGTGGATCATTCTCAGCACTGCAGTAACACTGACGTGGTGGTGGTGTGTTAGTGTGTGTTGCGCTGGTACGAGTGGATCAGACACAGCAGTGCTGCTGGAGTTTTTAAACACTGTGTCCACTCACTGTCCACTCTATTAGACACTCCCACCTTGTCAGTCCACCTTGTAGATGTAAAGTCAGAGACGATAGCTCATCTGCTGCTGCACAGTTTGTGTTGGTCATCCTCAAATCCTTCATCAGTGGTCACAGGATGCTGCCCACAGGACTCTGTTGGCTGGATATTTTTGGTTGGTGGACTATTCTCAGTCCAGCAGCGACACTGAGGTGTTTAAAAACTCCAGCAGCACTGCTGTGTCTGATCCACTCAGACCAGTGCAACACACACTAACACACCACCACCACGTCAGTGTTACTGCAGTGCTGAGAATGATCCACCACCCAAATAGTACCTGCTCTGTGAGGGTCCATGGGGGTCCTGACCCCTGAAGAACAGGGTAAAAGGGGGCTAACAAAGTATCAGAGAAACAGATGGACTACAGTCTGTAACTGTAGAACTACAAAGTGCACCTATATAGTAAGTGGAGCTGGTCATAATGTTATGCCTGATCGGTGTATAATTATAAGATCTTGGCCCTGATGCCAGCTCAGAGCTTAAAATGTCCCATAAACATCACACTATGTAGTAGAAATACCATGGAGTGGTGGTGGGGTGGGTAGGGTTGGGGGTTGGGGGTTAAGGGGGGGATTCCCTTAGATGCCAGCAAGACCACATGTTGATTAAGACCCAAAGGGCGAGCGTCAATGTGACCCGGGGCAGGAATCTGACACAGTGAATGAAAGGCCAACTCTTTCTAGTGAAGGTATTTCCTGAAATAACCCTGAAATAACTGTACATACGCAGCAACGTACAGTTATCATGCCATGCGTTGCCGTTGCCAAAGCACTTGTTCTAGTAATGTGCAAAAACCCCCATTTCCTTTTGATGCAACATGACTTCATAAAGACTTAGATGGGTCCAAGCAGGCATCGTCAGGGCTGCTGGTACATAAACATAAAAGAAAATATTTGGCAGTAATTCCAGAACAGGGCAATGATATCACAAGCCTAATGGGATCAATATTCTCTCCTCAGGACCAGAAAAAAACAACACACCTGTTGCGACATGTCATAAGTTCAGAGTCAGCGTGACAACATGAACAAACAACTTCTGTGCCTGGAGCTATTCGTGTCCACGTTTATCACTGGACAATAGATCCTCTGCCTTCAAGAAACGTTCCTGGAAACGGGGCTTGAAAACATGGTGCGGTCAGTCTCACTGCAATGTTTTGTAGGTAGGATAAGTGATATGTGTTTAGGCTACGTATTCATAGCACAAACTATATATTCATCGCTTTATTCGACACCCGCTCAAGGATACGTCACTTTTGATATGGGCTGCATTTATAATAAGACTAAAGAATACAAAGGCTTTCAGTGTAATTGACACATCAGCCCTTTTTACAGCAATGTGGCTTTCAGGTCAGAAGTGCTGGCTCTAGAAGGGCTAAAAAAACAGGAACAGTCTCACAGAAAGAAATGAAAGCTGCTGTAAACCGGCCTTCTTCCCATCACTAGTGAACAAAAGACAGCAGTGGCCTTTGTGAGCTCCCATACTGAAACAACACCCACTGTCACAGCAAAACAACCAGCCTTGACGCTCCTGATTCCCCTATCCTGACTGTAAGCAGCACATTTTTGACACATAAATGAATCTGCTGGTAAACAGGGGGTCTGATTTAAGAATAAGGTGACATTAGCATGGTAAGAGCTCATAGGAGATAAACTGACACTGTCCCTTTAAAACCAGCGAGAATATTCTCGGGACAGGAGATGCGCGTGGACCATGAAAATAAGGATGAAAGCACAAAGCTGTCCGTGACTTACCGTTAGAGATAAACAGATGGCAGGCATTTTTCCTTCTCTCACACTCTTTTCTTCTCAAAACATGAGAATGTCCGGCTTCTCGCACACAGAGAGAGGGTCCTTCTCTACCTCAGGTGGAGCATCTCTGCGTCGAGAGCATCAAGAGGGCACCCGCATTGTGCAGGGGAGCCGACTCCGTCCTAATGCTGCAACTGCGTCCAGCTTTTTATAGTCTGTGTTATGAGGGCAGCGAGGCTCGGGCAGCGGGAGGCGAGCGTTTGGTCGTCGGGGGTCAGCGGTGTAATTCCCATAGCGATGATGGATCCGAGGGCTGAGGTCTTGGCTCTGTTCGCGTGTTCCCCAGCTCTCACTGTCTTCTGCAGCGAAGCCGGGCTGCTGGGCTGGACTTTAGCGACTCGAGAACGAATCGTCCTTGTGAACCGATTCTTTTAAACGAAGTCGGCTCACGAGTCCAACGGAATCAAAACTGAGTGCGTTCAATAAACCGTTCGTAATCGGATTTCCGCAGTTATCCGATTATTCAGTTGGTCATCTAAACACCATACTCTGATCTAGAAATCCGATTGAGAAATCCGATAAAGAGGCTGGATTTTAGCTCAGTAATCAGATTTCTCAGTGCATGTGAACTCTTACTCTGATTTCTTTCCGATTTCTCAGTCTGCGCATGCGCGAGAACAGACGGCGGCCCCAAAAACTTTGGGAGCGGCGCTGAAACCAAACACGAAATAAAGGATTTAAATATTCTTCATCTTCTAGATGATGCATGTTTATTATATTTTCAGGTAAAGTGGAGCGATGTTTTAAAAAAAAAGCTGTGATATGAAGTTTGAGTTTTATGTTACGTTTACGTCGCGTCTTCTTCTGTGAGTTTATTGGCTGTTTGCAAAGCAGAAATCTGATTACTGTCTGACTCATGTAGAGCGGGAGTTTTCCCATTATCTGATAACTCAAGTGCATGTAAACGTGTTGATCAGATTACTGACAAAATCTGATTTTCTCCAGTTATCGGATTATTAAATGCATGTAAACGCGCTCATTGTTTTGCAGCATCGTCTTAGCAGCGTTTCCGTCTGTGTTCTAGGCTTGAGGGCTTATAATTCTCAAATTTATATAAGTATATATATAAAAATTGGCTCTTTTTCTGTTCTGGTTTGTGCATTAACAGCCCAACTTCATCGCGGACTAATAAACAGCAGACGTTTCACTCGCTGAATTGTGTATATAGCTAGCTGGCTTTTTTTTATTTTGGCTTTCTTATGCTTTTCTTGATATTGCCTGATCTGGTAGCCACGTATCCACAGCACAGTGTTTAGTGTGACCATGAGCTAAAAAAAATCAGGCCAAATGAATAAAAGCGCACAGAAAAAGAAGTTTTATTGAGCTATCGCTGTTTACTTGAATCAGTGAATCGTTGGATCCGAAGTTCGACTCACTGAATCGGACAGCTCGAAAGAGTCGGTTCGGTAAAAGTGAATCAAACTTCCCGCGAATGCTGGAGACTGACGTCACGGCCGAAACTTGGCACTGGCTGTTTACTGAAGCCACACGCTATTGCTGCTCTCCCCCCGTGCTCCGACAGGCCCCGCCCTCCTGCGCTACGATTGGCTGGTAGTTCATTCTGAATAATGATTGTTAATACTAGCCAATCCGAGTGCAGGTGGCGGTCTATTGCTGTCCGATCGTAGCGAAGGACGTGGGACGCCGCCAGCTGATAGGCGGGCTGCTTATGCGCTTGAACTGTAGCCCGTTCAAGCACACGAGGATATACTGACCAGTCATAGAGCAGGAGGGCGGCGTCCGAGGGAGTAATAGTGGGGGAAAAACAATAATAATGCTGACGAGACTGTTTACGGGAAGATGTTGCTAACAGGAGTCTTATAAAGGGAGCTGAACTGGCGAAACGCAGAGTACATTTATTTAACTGCTTAAATATTTCAGCGTGACAGAAGTTGTGACATAATTAAAAACGTCCACACGAAAGACTGAAAACAAGTCTGTGTCTGATTTAACATTTAGCATGGTCAGCATGTCTTACTGACCCTGTGAAGTAAAATAACAAAGCAAGAACAGACTTATAACTTGGCTGGTGACAGACTCGCCTTCAGCTGTCTCAGATGGACTTAAAGGGGCTCTCGGGCCAATATTCAACATTTAACCTACATCTGCTGTGAACATGCTTGTCCTTGCCTCCTACAGTGGGGCCACAGTAGTCTCTAGAGGATTTTCTGCTTTAGAGATTAGGAGGCCGCTTTCTGATGATGTGCCTTAAAGGTGGGAGCAGCTTTTGAAAAACGAAAAGAGTTTTGAGGCGGATATAAGGGGCCGTGGTAAGTTAATGACATTGCGTTCCCTCGCAAAAAATGCGTTCCCTCGCAAAATATATGCTCGACAGACAGCAAGTAGGACCAGAGGTGCCCAACGACATTGCCTACATTAGAGCTTTGTTTTTAGCATAGCTAACGTTAAAAGCTGTTGTTCTCTGCAGTCTCTGTAAATGTAGCTTTTACTGTACGAGGACACTCGGTCTCCGTTTCAGTTTGAGTCACTAACAGCAGAATCATGATTGATTTTGAGAAGCGACACGTCTTTATATTTCAATACAAGATCAACGTAAAATTCAATGAGCTGCTTCATCTCTGAGCTTAAGCAAAGCAGAGCTTTTGCAAGCGAATGCAAACCGTTAGCATCGTAATGCAAAACCTTTGCAAGGGAATGCATTTTATTTGCGAGTGAACGCAAAACATTTGCGAGTGAACGCAAAACATTTGCAAGGGAATGCATTTTATTTGCGAGTGAACGCAAAACATTTGCAAGGGAATGCATTTTATTTGTGAGTGAACGCAAAACATTTGCGAGTGAACGCAAAACATTTGCAAGGGAATGCATTTTATTTGTGAGTGAACGCAAAACATTTGCGAGTGAACGCAAAACATTTGCAAAGGAATGCATTTTATTTGTGAGTGAATACAAAACATTTGTGAGGGGATGCAATGTCATTAATTAATTTTTTTTTTTCCTAACCATGGCCCCTTAGGGGCTCCGTATATTTGAAGGTGGGCTGTTTAAAAAGATTTTTTCCCTGCTACTTAGCTAATACAGATGGATGCCACATAGCTGATGTTACTGCAGGGAAGCCAAATATCATTTGTATTTCTTAGCCTCCACATCAGTGGCTAAGTTAGCATGGGGGATTCTCAACAGAGCCGGGATATGTGGAGCCTGGCCACTTCCTATTTCCCCATTATATCAAAAACAGGACTGCAAAACAGCAAAAGGCGCCCGCGAGCGAGTAAATGAATGGGGGTTAATGGAGCTCAACAGCTAAAGTTAAAAAAATGTAAAGTTAAAATAGTTTCTAATCACTCGCTCAGAACTTTTCTTTAATTTTAGAAAGTAAAAGAATGTATTTCACTAAAAAAGCAGAGAAAATGTACCTATATATTTCCTTTTTTTTCTTTTTTTCAGCAAACGGGTTGGTTGGTGAGCGGAGCAGCTGATTGGTTGGTGAGCGGAGCAGCTCATTGGCTGTTCGCGCTCACTGATGTCATGGAAGCGCAGTTTTAAACTCCTATAACTCGAGTTTAAAAGCTCTTAAATATATAACGGCGGTGTTAAAATGTTTTATGCTGCTCTGTGCTCAGGAAATGAATGAATTCTTTTACATTAAAAGTGTTTAAGGATTTGTAAACTATGATTTTGCTCAAATGCTCCATATCAACCCATTCATTTTGGACTCGCTCGGGAGACATTGCCTGTTGACATGTGCCTGGTTGGACAATAGCACTAACACAGGTTAATTCTAATAAGCACACAAATCATTGGAAGTTCACTATATGGACAAAAGTATTGGGACACCTACACATTACACTGTCAGGAGACTTTATGACAATCCACAGGCATTAATATGGAGTTGGTCCCCCTTTGCTGCCGTAACAGCTTCCACTCTTCTGGGAAGCTTCTACAAGATTTTGTAGAGTGTCTGTGGGATTTTGTGTCCATTCATCCAGAAGAGCATTTGTGAGGTCAGACACTGATGTTGGACGAGAGGGCCTGACTCACAATCTCCGTTCTAGTTCATCCTAAATGTGTTCGATAGGGTTGAGGTCAGGGTTCTGTGAGGGCCAGTCAAGTTCTTCCACACCAAACTCACCCAGCCATGACTTTATGGAGCTGCTTTGTGCACTGGGGCTCAGTCATGCTGGAACAGAAAAGTGTCTTCCCAAAACTGTTCCCACAAAGTTGAATACATATGACTGTCCAAAATGTCTTGTTCTGCTGAAGCATTAAGATTTCCCTTCACTAGAACTAAGAGTTCTAGACCAACCCCTGAAAAACAACCCCATATCATCATCCATCCTCCATCAAACTTTACAGCTGGCACAGTGCAGTCAGGCAGGTAATGTTCTCCTGGGATTCGCCAAACCCAGACTCGTCTATCAGACTGACAGATAGAGGAGTGTGATTCGTCACTCCACACCATACGTTTCCACTGCTTCAGAGTCCAGTGGTGGCGCTTTACACCACTCTATCGGATGCTCAGCACTGTGCTTGGTGATGTAAAGCTTGCATGCAGCTGCTCGACCATGGAAACCTCCCGGAGCAGATTTTGCGCTGATGTTGGTCTGACACTTGGAATGAGTTGCTGTGGTTCCTAAACACTTCCACTTTTCAGTAATGCCACTCACAGCTGATTATGAAATATCTAGGAGAGAAGAAGTTTCACAAACTGCCTTGTTGCAATGGTGGCCTCCTATTACAGCACCACACACTAATTCAGTGAGCTCTTTAGAACGACCCATTCTTTCACTAATGTGTGTAAAGGCAGGCTGCGTGGCTAGGTGCTTGATTTTATACACCTGTGGCAATGAGACTGAATAAAAAAAGCTGAATTCGATGATTAAGAGGTGTGTCCCAATACTGTTGTCCATACAGTATATCCTCAGATCTACACTCAAGTGATAGCAGCCATTCTTAAGATTGACTCAATTTATTTACACAGTTTTAGTGCTTTAGAGGGCAGATGGGTATGCTGGACAACCCATGGCCTACTTAGTTCAAATCAGATTGAACGGAATATGTTTAAGTATGTAATAAAGCCGACTCCCTTATTTTACTAAGGCACTGTCATTATTTCTCCCACATCAATCTGCTCACTTATGCCAGGTGGTTTATAATCTGAGACGACTATTTAGTCTCATGTATTAGATCTCAAACATTGTCCACCCCAAGTGTCCACCCAAGGCACGTAGCCGTATATTCCACAGCATACAAGGCAGCGGAGTGGATGGCTCTCTCTTCATAGCCCCTTTCAGCTGGGCAGATCCGCTGGCAGATGAGGAGGACACCATCTGGCAGGCACGTGGGGCGAGGAGCTGAAGAGATGAA